AAGCACTTGAGATAAAAGTGCTAAGCAGTGTGCAGCTGCTCTCTCACCCATTCTAACACACACACACACACACACACACACACACACACACACACACTGCCACCACACAGGGTGCATATAATATCGGGAGCAATCTGGGGTTCAGCATCTTGCCCAAGCATACTTTGACATGCACATATCCTTACCAATAAAAGGATTAATTGTTGGAATAAACATACAAGTAGGTGTATTTGGCATTAACACAATTAGTGGCTATTAGGTGTCATAACTGTATGACCTTCTCAAATTATATTCCCAGTTAACTGGACCAATAACTCCAGTGTACTTTACATCAATAAATGAAAACATGAAGATGAAACCACAATATTCTAGGACCTCATTTTATTTAAATGAAAAATACTAAAATCAGTCACTGTCTGCTTTGAGCTGAGAGAGAGAAAGAGAGAAATAATATTGATTAATACATTGCATCACAGTCATGCTTACAATGTGCATTAAAGTCACTTACTTCTTTCTGTAGTTTCTTAATTTCCAAGTCCAGTTTCCTTAAGGTCTTTCTTTTGTCTGTCAAGCTCCATGTCCTGCAGCTTCCTCTTTTCACACTGGAGCTTGACATCTGCCAGGGCTATTTGCTTCCTCAGATGAGTAGCATATAGCTGTCTGACAGTTTGTGAATTCTGTAAAACACATATCTATTAGCACAGCAATTGTGGACACCGTGGATGTCCTTCAGGCAATACGCACTACATTTCCAGGCAGGCTGTCAGGCTGTTCATCTGTGTCCTCTTACAAATATATTTTCTGTGAGCACTACATCACTGACTTCTTATGCATTAACCCTATGGGCCTGAACGACGCATAGTGCGTCCAAATTCACACCCGTTCTTCTCTGTGGATTTAGGACCGTGCGTCCTTGCGAGAAGCCACGCATATCATGTGAAACAGCGGAACTGTAGCTTTCCGAGAAGGCCAAGCACTTGTCGGTAATCCAATGTTTTCACAGCGAAAAAAAATGATAAAGTTACACTAAAGTGATGTATAACAGCTTTCATACAGCTTTGCACACACGTTACTCTTGGATGGATTACTCGCGAACGCAGGCTCGCACAGAAATGCCACGCATATCATATGAAAGCGCAGGAGCAGAGCTTTCGAGGGATACCACACACATCATTGTACTAGCATCCCATCATGCTATAAATACAGATTGATTGTCTACAAAATAAAAACCTGACGAAATTCTTTACAATCCATTATACAGATCTTGCTATCAGTCACTTCATATAGTGAGGAATATCGTATCTTACCACGTCTTAGGCTTGCATGTGTTTCTCCCTGTCTATCCACATTTGTAGTCTGGCTTTCAAGATGCAAATATCTCCATATTGTCCAGTTCACACTCCATCAAACTTTGTATGACAAGACCAGCCACTTCACCTTTGCGCACCCAGACAACTGCAGCCTAATGCATGCTGACAGGGCCGTATGTACTCACCATATACAAATGCCCCCCAATATATAACTGAAACTGAAAAACAAATATTATCTTGGAGGACATCATTGCACTTGGTTGACTATTTTTCTATGATCTTAGATGTAAATATTGCATGTTTCTTTCAGATAAAACACATTTTTGACTTGTGAATGAATCAATGGAATTTCTTGCAATAATGAAAAAATACTGGCAATCATGTCTGCCTGGCACAAACCACATGTTTTGGACAACTGTGAAGTGACAGAATGTCCCAGCATCATGGTTCTTATATTGCCAGATTCCAGAGAGTCTCCCCTCTTCATATATGGTAGAATATGTCATTTTACAACTTGCTATGCTGAGATACATGTAAAAATGTAAGAATTTAGTCACACGGATTTGTTTTTTTCATTGATATAAAAATTAATATAAAATACAGGCACATAGAAGGACATGGAATGATGGCAAATCTGGTTAGCCCAGATTGTCCTGAAAAAAAACAAGATATAGTATCTGTATGTAGCCTTTATAATGACTGTGATATGAGCTTAAAAGTAAAGGCAGTAAAAATACCCCAAAAACGCCTAGGGCCCAAAGGGTTAAGGACTAAATTATCTCCACAAGACTGGCAGGTTACCTCAAACCTCCTGGAGTCCAGAGAAAGTGTCTCCTCCTCATCTGCTGCATCCCCTGCTGCAGATGTACCTTCACCCTGCCACATTAAATAGAATTTGTATTGACCTAATGTAAACTTACAAGACATGTCAAGCAAATGCCTCTAATGAATAACACTCACCGGATCATCTTCCAGTGGCTCCAGAAGGGTCAGTGTGTCACCTGACACTGCAAGACAATCCAAAATCAGACATAACACCAATGGTTGATAAATGAATGAATAAAATGATTGATTCTGATGAAGCAGAATTCTAGTCCCGGCCATACGCAGACGACGGTAGGATGAAACTTGGTCCTTCAGCAGCTCAATCTCATGCTCCAAATCTCAATAGGTTGCCAGCTGCTTCCGCAGGTCACGGTTATCTCTCGTCAGGATGTTGAGTTGAGCACGCAGATTTACCTTCTCCTGTTGGCCCTGCTCGCACTGTGACTTCAGGGCCCAGCGTCTTTCTATCACCCGGGCCTTGTGGATGGTGCAGCGCACTTTGCGCAGTCCTGGGCGCAACTCTAGGGGGAGGCTACTCACTAGATGATGGTAGGGTTTCGAGGGAACGTTGTGGAGCAGGGTTCGCAGATGGTCCACAAGCAGCTTGTATCTCTCTGTCGTGGGTTTCTCTGTCTGTAGCTCACGAAGATGCCTCTCTACCTCTTAGGGACACCTTGTAATCCTGCTGCAGCCAAGCTCTGATAGCTCGGGACATTGGTGTCTGGGGCAGGGGTGTATGTGCGTTCACTGGCACTGGTTGCGGTGGGTCTGGCTTTGGCTGGGGCTTATTGACAGGTGGGCTGATGTTGCTGGGGGGTTGGTTGTAGGTTCCTCGGCCTGCCATCTCCCCGGTCATTTTCGATCCCCATTCCCTCGTGGCCATCCTTGGACCGGGGGTCTCGAACAGGGGCTGAGAACCCTGCAGGGCACGTTGTGAGTTGTCCACAGAGTTGAAGAGGGGTTGGCTCAGATTGAGCATCAGCGGCGGCTGCAGAACTGGAGGCGTGCAGGTCATCGATGAGGTCATCGAGGAATACTGGTACCAGTGGGCCTCGATGGGGGCTCCTCCTTGCAGCACATATGGGGGTGGTTGTGTGTTGATCATTGCAGGAGCCGGGTAGAGGTGGTCTGGGCGATACTGCATGGCTGAGAGCTCTTGGTAGCTCGGCCCGGGGTGGCACCCTGGGCTCTGCGGGTATGGGTAGGGGGTTCTCCACTGGTTGGCCATACTCTGCACTTATCTATGTGTTGTCAGGGGACATTTTTAGTTCAAGTCATTTTTCTCTTTTCCCCTCGCCTTCTCCCTTTCCTTCCCACCACTCAGTGTTAGAGAGAAACTTCGTAGGTTAGTAGAAATGTTGTTAGTATTTTTGGGTCTGGTGACAGCAAGGGCTACCTGGGTGCTGTGTGTCTGATGGCTATCCCTTACTCCTACTTGACTCTTCCTCTATATGACCGCGTATTCCCCTTCCATGTTCCCCTTCATTGGCTCATATAGGTTCGGATTGCCAATCATGGGCTCATGTAAGTCGTTGTTCAATCTTTTGGGTGTGTGTGGGCTTACCCGAGAGTCGTCTAATCCCAACAATTCTATTTCCTCTGGGAGCCTTGCCTGCTGCTGTATCAGCATAACGAACTGTCCTGTGGCAGCTCCCATGGCCTTTCTCACCATGATCCGTATTAGGGGAGAGATTACACAGATTACTAAGGTGAGTACAATAAGTACCTGTCTGGCTGAATACTCTAACCATTGGTAGAACATATTAGATCTCCAGGTCGTGGTTCTTATCAATTCGGCGCCTTGGGCTGGCGCACCTCTTGGTTTCCTGTGGGGTTCTAAATTTAGTTCGAGCTATTGCTGAGCTATTTCTATTGTTATCGTGTGCCTAGTGTCCATGTCAGTACAATCATTACCATCACACCAGACTCTTGCTGTCACCCTCCCATCGGCTCTACATTGTGGCCCTATAAACCGGCCACGCAACCTGATGTTTTCTGGGCCCTCCACCAGTATGTCGACATACGCAGTAGGTTAGTTGCACTATTTCTCTCTTAGGTATCTGTCTGTGCTCTGCGGCCATAGATCCTAATGCAAGTAGACATCTGTCTATCTGCCCCTGATTCTGTCTGCTGTGTTCTGTCCCTTCACCTGGTTTTACTCCTGAGGCAAGTAGTAGTGCTAGTAGCACTGCCGCTATTATTCCTGCCTGGATCCCTCCACCTATTCTGCCTTGGCCTCCTGCATTGACTAGGGGCCCGTCACTAAGGGGCCTGCTAGGGTGCTGGTCCCTGTCCTGAGTCTGAGTCTCCTACGTCTGCATCTGCTGGGTCTGTGTTTCCTGTGTCTGCTTCTGTACTTTCTTGGCCTTCTGCTTCGCCTTCCTCTGTGCTGCCTCTTTCTTCCTCTTCTTCCTCTGCAACTTCCTCAACCTCCTCTGTTCCTGCTGTCCCTGCGCCCTCATCATCATCCCTGCAGCTGTCAGGTGTCGACTCATGAGACTCATCGCTAGCCACTGTGGAGGAGGTGCTCCCCTCCGTGGTACTGTCTGATGACACCCTCTCGGGCAACGACCTGCTGCTGTCACTCTGGACGTCGCTCTGGCCCTGCCTGGTCGCCAAGCGTGAAGAGCGCCTTGTCCCCTGACTCTGCAGGGAGGCATCGCCTTCCCCTCACAGATGACCCCCTACTCCCCTTGGGACGGCCTCGCCTTCCCTTTGCGGCCCAGAAGGAGGTGCTCTCCGTCTGGTCCTGGGTCGGGGTATAGGTCTGTCGGGGTTGTTAGCTCGGCAGCAGTGGTTAAGATGAAACCAAACGTCCTTACTAGTGATGCGCGGATGGGCTCTGACGGCACCCGAATCCGCATCTATCCATCAATCATCCATCCGCCACCCATCCGAGCAAATTAATTTTCTATAATTACAGACCCGCATCCACCCGCACCCGCATGTTTATATTATCAGGAAAGATTAGATCCTGGCCGATCCTGTCAGCTGACTGACATTAAAATAATCAATAAAATGGCGCCGTTACTC